GTAACACCCCGCTTTTCCTTAAATATCAGAGTGCATTTTTCTTAAAAACTTTTCTTAATAATACATATTTATTTACTAAATCCTTTTCGGGATGCTACTAAAAATCATTCATTACTTTGAGAATCCGTTATCTTTATTGAAACTTAACTTTGAAGAATAAACGGATTAATTTAGATCAACTGGCATGTAATACTTTATAAAAATCTGTCTGATAAGTCAGTTTAAAAACAAAAACTGACATGCTAGTTGAAATATCGTAAAGTGACAGCGGAAGTCATACGTGGCAAAACATAGCTGTACAATAATGTACAATGGCTGCTAGCCATATCTCTGACCACGATCCACAAACCAGCTCACTCCTCTAGTCCGACGCTGTAATCTGAAAAACATGATAATAGTGGGAGCGTGAGTACTAAAAACACTGTACTCCGCAGAAACTCATACTAAAGTAAACATTAATAATAATTGCAATAGCATGATCAAACGCATATATAACTGAACTGTCATGTCATGTACTGTAACTGCGATCAACCGTAACTGCTACGGGATCGAATGTTGTATCTGGCGGTTATAATATGCTGCGCCGCGCCTATGTGCACACTCTAGTGGGCAGATTACGCCACTAGAACTCAGATGGTCTTACTTTGTCTAGCCTCACTGAGCAGGAACTGAATATACATACCTTGAACATGATAACTGTAATTATACTCAATGTAATACTTAGTCTGAGTCCCCACCTGAACTGCTGGTCTGAAAATGTAAGTGCTGATCATCTGGATCCTGAATAAACTCTTTGAATTATGAATAAAATGGCATCGACAGAGCGTTCTTCCTTGTCCTCGTGTGCGTGTGTATATAGAATATCTCTAACTCTTTTTAAAGCTCACTTGACCTTCCTTAATATGTAGTAATTATAGACATATTTATATACTAACTTGCTGAATAGGGAATGAACCTCAAATAAAATTTTCTCCTTCCCCATATATGAAAACCGTACGCATTAGGGAGGGAAAAGGGGTTGATTGGTCATCGCCAATCATCTTGTGCCATTTGCTAAGCATATGAAGCCTTAGTTGTACAAATAGCTTAGTCACCAAACTTGAAGACTAACTAGAGTGCCACGTACATACGTGCAATGATGCTATTCACGTGACATAAAATTCCTCCCAACTCTTGGTATTTGACATGATAACA